ATCCATTCATTTGTTTAATTAACCATTTATTAAATGCCTAGTATGCCTCAGAGCTAAAGATGCCAGGAAAAATTTAACCCTGTTCCTGGCTTTGTGGAGCAATGGCCCAGTGAGTGAATAGATATGAGGGAAAAATTAAGATACAAAAAGAAAATGATGCAATGCTCTGTTCGTTGCAATGGAAGTGTTTATAGGATTATACTGATGCACAGGAGGTTGGGAAATTGGTTATGTCTCTAGAAGGAGTCACTGGTGGGTTTAAGGCATAGATACAGTTAATGGAGAAATCAAAGGATGATTAGTGTCCAGGCTAGGACTAGGAAGGCAAGGGACGCACTAGGGGACACAATTTCAGCAGGTAGTCACTCTCAGATGTTGAGCCTGCACTTGCATGACCCTGAAAGTGGGTGCCTTAATTACACCACCTTTGGCCCAGCCCTGAGTAATATAGTGGAACTCAGTTGTCACCTACTGAGATCCCCTTTATTTGAGTAAGACATCTATCCCCCAACTGTGGAATTGGCTGCTGACAGTTCCCAGCTGTCTCTTTCTCCAGAAAATTGTCCTCAGCCAAGTGGGCGCTGTGTTATGTGGGATATTATGCTCCTTCCCACAAGTGTAGCCCACAACTAAAAGCTTACTAACTTGGGAACACAAAAAGGTCCTGAGAGAGGAATTGCTCATTTACAATAGAGTGTGGAGAAGTTCAGGCCTCAGGGCACTCTCAAAAATAGTGGAGGTTGTGGTGAAAGACAGTTGAGAGGAAATTGGTGGACTCATTGGACATATATGTTTAACCAGAGGCCAGATAGTTCTCCTAAAAGTACTGGGGAAGGAGAAAGCTCAGAGGAGCTTGCCAGATATCAGAACAAATCTCAAAAACTGATCTTGGGAACTATCCCTTCCAAAGAGCTGAATTTTATTGGTTTAGTCTATGTAACAAGTTATGCCCCAGGACATATCAGCTGACAATTAGTGGAGCTTAATAGCTGGGTGTGCTCAGGGAAAGAGACAGTCAAAGAAAGCCCTGCAAAAACCAGTTTCACCCTGGGTGACTGGACATATGAAGGCTGCACCCGCTAGGGGAAACATCAGAAGCTAAACACTATAGGGGAGGGTGGAATAGACTCTATCAAAATAATCCAGCCAGTCACTAAACAAACAAGCAAATAATAATAACAAGCCCTAAATGGGGGGACCAGTACCCAGAGTTGCTATATTATCTAAAATGTCCAGTTTCTAACAAAAAATTATGAGACATGCAAAAGAAACAGGAAAGTATGACCCACACACGGAGTCAGGTAACAAAAACTGCCCATAACAGTGACTAGATATTAGATTTCACAGACAAAGCTTTCAAAGTAGTCACTATAAATATGTTCAATGAACTAAAGAAAACCATGATTAAAGAAGTAAAAGAGGGTATGATCACAGTGTTGCATTAAATAGAAAGTATCATAAAGAGATAAATTTTCAAAAAGAAGCAAATGTAAATTCTGGAGTCAAAAGTTACAATAACTGAAATGAAAAATTTGCTGGAGAGGCTCAACAATAGCTTTGAACTGGCAGAAGAAAGAATTAGAGAACTTGAAGGTAGATTGATAGAGATTACATAATCTAAAGAACATAAATAAAAAAGAATGAAGAAATGAAAAGTATCAGAGAAATGTGGGACACTATTAAGCACATCAACATACATGCAATGGTATTATTATTAGAAGAAGAGAAAAATAAAGGAGCAGAAAACATCTGAAGAAATAATGGCTCAAATTTTTCTGAATGTATTGAAAAACAAAAATCGACACATTCAGGAAACTAAACAAACCCTAAGAAGAGTAAAGAGTAAGAGATCCTTCGTGCCCACCCAGGGACGCCAAAACAAAACAAAACAAAACAAAACAAACAACAACAACAAAAAAACACCAAAAAACAAAACAAAACAAAAAAGAGATCCATGAATGGTTACATCATAATAGAAATTCTGACAGCCAAAGACAAGGAGAAAATCTTGAAAGCAGAAAGAGAAAAACAATGTATCACTTACAAGGGAACCCAGTAAGGTTAATAGCTGAATTCTCAGCAGAAACATTAGAAGGTACAAGGCAGTGGGATAACATATTCAAAGTTCTCAAAGAAATAAGCTGTCAACCAAGAATTCTGTATCCACAAAGCTATCTTTCAAAAGTGAAGGGCAAATAAAGATATTCCCAGGAAAACAAAAACTGGGAGAACTTTTTGCTAGCCTTACAAGCAATACTGAAGGAGCTTCTTCAGGCTGAAAGCAAACTGACCCAGACAGTAGTTTGAATCAAAAAACAAACAAACAAACAAACAAACAAAAAAACCACCAGTAAATTTAACTAAGTAACTTAAAAAGAGAGTATAAATGCACGTTCTTTTTCTTTTCTCTTCAACTTAGTTAAAAAGCAATTGAATAAGACAACATGTATAAAATATATTGTTTGGTCTATAAAATATAGAAATGTAGTATATATGCCAAGAACAGCACAAAAGAAATAGGTGGGAGCAAAGATGTGTTGTGCTAAGGAAATGACTCCTGATGGTAACTCAAATCTACACACAAAAAAGAAAAAACGGAAAAAAATCGGAAGTGATGAATAAGAAGGTTAATATAACAAAAGCTATAAACATATAATTACTCTTATTTCTTCTCTCAGTTTCTATAAAACTCATATAATTAAATAAAGTAATAAAATACATTTCTGGGTTTGTAACATTTATAGACTTAATATGTATAATAATAATATCACAAAAAGAGAATAGAGCTATATAGGACGAATGTTTCTATATCTCATTGGAATTAAGTTAGTATAAACCTAAGGTTGTTTCTGATGAGTTATATATGATAAGCCCTAGAATAACCACTAAAGAAATAACTCAAAAAAGATAGTAAAAATCATTAAAGTAATTAAAGTTTTACATTAGAAAATGTTTATTTAATGCAAAAGAAAGCTGTAAAGGAGGAACAGAGGAACAAAAAGACATGAGACACATAGAAAACAAAAAGTTAAAATGGCAGACATAAATCCAACTATATTAATAAAAATATTTTAAATGCAAATGGATGAGACAATCCAATTAAAAGGCTGAAATTGTCAGACTAGTTATAAAAAAAAAAGAGCCATCTATATACTATCTATAAGTGAAACATTTTTGACTCAAAGACACAAATAAAAGGATGGAAAAATATATAGCATGCAAGCAGCAACAACAAGACAGATCAAGTGGCTATACTACTATCAGATAAAAGAGATTTTAAAATTAAAAGAAAATTACTAGAGATTTTTTTTTGAGACAGAGTCTCACTCTGTTGCCCAGGCTAGAGTACCTTGGCATCAGCCTAGCTCACAGCAACCTCAAACTCCTGGGCTCAAGCAATCCTCCTGCCTTAGCCTTCCGAGTAGCTGGGACTACAGGCATGTGCCACCATGCCCGGCTAATTTTTTCTATATATTTTTAGTTGGCCAATTAATTTCCTTCTATTTTTAGTAGAGACAGGGTCTCAACTCTTGCTCAGGCTTGTTTTGAACTCTTGACCTTGAGTGATCCTCCCGCCTCGGCCTCCTGGAGTGCTAGGATTACAGGCATGAACCACCACGCCCGGCCTTCTAGAGATTTTAAATAGGACATTTTTATAAAATTTTAAATTTTCATAAAATCTTTTAAAAAGATATAACAACTATAAAAATAAATGAACCTAATAACAGAGCACCAAAATATGAGGCAAATGTGACAGAGATATAGGGAGAAATAGGCAATTCAGCAATAATAGTTGGAGACTCCTATACCCCACGTACATTAATGGATAGCACAACTAGACTGAAAATCAAGAAGGAAATAGAATGCTTAAACACTCTAAACCTAAGAGGCATTTCTGTAACATTCTAGTCACCAACACCAGAATATACATTCTTCTCCAGAGCACATGGATTATTCTCCATGGTAGACCATCTGCTAAGCCATAAAAAAAGTTTAAAAGGATAGAAATAATATGAAGTATACTCTCCCATCACAATGGAATGACATTAAAAATCAAAAGCAGAAAGAACTTTGGGAAACTCACTAATATGTGGAAATTAAAGAACACAATCCTAAGAAACCAACAGGTCAAGGAAAAAATCAAAAGGGAAATTAGATCATGCCTTTAGATGAGCAAAAATGAAGATACAACATACCAAAATTTATGAGATATAGCTGAAATAGTGCTTAGAAGGAAGTGCATAGTTGTAAATGCCTATATTAAGAAGGAAGAAAAATCTCGAATTGTAACCTCATATTCTATCTCAAGACACTGAAAATAAAAGATCAAACCAAGCCTTAAAAAAAAGCAGAAGGAAGGAAATATTGAAAATTAGAGCAGAAATCAATAAAATAGAAAGATCACATAAAAAAACCAGTTAAACCAGAATTTGATTCTTCGAAAGATCAACAAAACTGACAAATCTTTAGCCAGATTAACCAAGAATAAAAAGAGAAGACTCAAATGATTGGAATCAGAAATAAAAGAGGGAACATTATTACTAACCATATAGAAATAAAAAGCATTATAAAGGAATACTATGAACCACTATATGCCAATAAATTAGAAAACTTAGATGAAATGTACACATTCCTAGAAAGACATAAAACTACTAAAATAGACTCCAGAAGAAATAGAAATTTCAAAGATGTTTATAACAAATAAAAGAGATTGAGTTAGTAATCAAAAACTACATACAAAGAAAAGCCCAGGTCCAGATGGCTACTCCATTAAATTCTATCTAACATTTAAAAAAAGACCAGGCTCCATTTCCAGCAAACTTGATATAAGATGACTGGTATCCAAACCAGTTCTAGGAGGCAGACTCTATGAATGGGAATTGCTGAGACATTCACTTGGGATGAACTAGGATGGAATACACTGCCTCATATACCTGTGGTATCGGAGAGTACGGGAGTGTATCAGGTATCCATTGCTATATACCAAATCACCCTCAAACTTAAAGGTTTAAAATGACAATTTATTATTTCTGACAATTCTGTCATGAATTCTGTCATGATGGTTGTCAAGCTCAGGTTGAGTGGGTGGTTCCTCTACTCCACATGATATAGGCTGGCACAGGTGATGAGCTGATTGGTCAGCTGAGGGCTGGGCTCAGCTGAAGTTGGTGTATCTCAGTTCCTCTCCCTGTGGTCTCACCAGATGGCTAGTTTGGGCTTCCTCAGAGCATGGTAGACTCAAGGCAGCACTCTAGTGGAAAAAAAAGTTATAATGCCCCTGAAAATCTGAACTTGGGTGCTACACAATGTCACTTCCAATGCATTCAAAGCATTCAAAGTCAAAGCAAGTCACGGGATCAGAGAAGTGTTTTCCTTTCTGAGTACATATTTCACTGGCTCAAGCTCATGGGATCTGAAGCATCCAGTCATCCTGACACCAGCATAATCAGCAGGTTGAAACACACTGACCCAATCTCTTTCGTCTATGGTCTAATCTCAGATCCCCCCCAGGAAACCAGAAGGGGGACCCCTTGTCACTTTCATGAGGTAAGTGTTGCTCTACCTGGTCTTAGATATAGCCCCTCTCTGGCTTCGGTCTACAGAGAGGTTAGCAAACTTTTTCTATTAAAGAGCAGACAGTAAATATTTTCGGCTTTGTGGCCATATGACCTCTGTTACAGCTACTGAACTCTGCTGTTGTAGTGTGACAGCAGCCATCAATAGCACATAAATGAATGAACATGGCTGTATTCCAATAAAACTTTATTTATAGGCACTGAAATTTGAATTTCATATAATTTTCATGTGTCATAAAATGCTATTCTTCCTATGATTTTTTCCAACAATTTAAAAACATAGAAGCCATTCTTAGTTCATGGACCATGTGTTTACTATGTAGGTACCAGGAACTGTCCTAACACTTCATGTTTTGTTTTTACAAAAGCTCTTTTAGATTGATACTATTATTATTTCCATTTTACAGATAAGGAAACTAAGGAATAGAGATAGTAAATAACTTATTAATACTTCCTTGTCTCAAGGGAGGTGTATAACAGAGTATCAGTGGAAGTTTCCCACAAATCTGTTGGGAATTCTAATGGAAAGAGAAGTTCATGGGCATAAAAACAGAGCCTTGAATAAATTTAAAATGAGAGAAGGATCATCCCCAAACCCAAAAGGGCTAGGAGAAGGAGTTAGAGAAGAGGGAGGAAAGAGGGCCAGGGAGGGAGTGGACCTGTAGGTTTTGAAGGAATGGGTACCCAGGTCTTCACTGTCTTTTTGAAGCCTCAGAAAGATGCCTTTAGCAGGCACAGAGCAGGAGAGCAGCAGAGCCATGGCTCTGATGGCTGATGGCTTGATGGGCACTTGGCACACCCATCTCTTAGACCAGTGGAAGGTCCCTAAACCCTGACACAACCTAACAAATGGGGACCCCAGCCAGGACTCAAGTTAGATTCTTCTGCTAAATCAGAGACAAAATTTAAAGTGAGTTATAGGAAGTAAACAAGCTGACTTACCTTTATTTATGGACTGAGATTCACACCCACTCGCTTGCTAAAGGCATTTTTTTCAGGAGCAGGAGAAACGTCAGCACAAAACAGTCCCTGGTTCACTCCCATCACAGTTCTGCTTCACTTTCACATGCTGGCCCCTCAAGCTCAGTGACAGTGTTGGTTAAATCGCACGCCACTCGGCTGGTGCATGGCAAGCTAGAGATTTACTATGAATATTTTCTGACCCTAAAGACAGATCACAGAAAGTGAACATATAAAAATTGGCTATAATTCATGTCTTTAGCTCTATTAACAAGTGTTTATTGCTAGAATCATAACATTTGGAAGAACATTTCAGCTATTTTTAAACTGAAAAAGTAAAACATGCGTGTAATACATGCATACGGATTTTTTTTTAATTACTAGCACACAGGTGTAAACAAAAGTAATTTTCCTCTTCTCTGAAACTCCAGCCTCACTCTCAGAGACAAAGTTTGTCATCAGTATATTGGATTTCATTATGAAAATAGTCCATGCATAGATAAATATAAGTTTATAATATCTGTTTTTTAAAACAAAGTTCAAATGGAAGTAAGTGATACACTCTATTTTACACTGGCTTTTTCACTTAATAATATGTCCTGAGAGTCATTCCCTGCTATTTTCTCTTTTTTTTCCCTGTTGCAAAGTATCCCAGTAGAGTTGTATTATACTTTATTTAATCAGTCCCTTAGTCTTGTAGTGAACATCTTTATATGTTATGAAGTATGCATACATGAGCCTGACTAGATCTGCAGGATAAAGTCTTGGAAATGGAATTGCAGACTCAAGGATAAATGCTTACTAAATTTTGATACATTTTGCCAAATTTCTCTTCCTAGAGTTCCCAGCCTCAGTTTTCTCATCTGTAAAGTAGGTTTTAATAAAATTCCACATTTCAAAGGGATGTTGCAAGGATTCAGCTCAATAAGGTATGTAATGTAAGGTAGTAAGAGGCCACCTACAGAGATGCCAAAAGGAGACTGGATTTAAGTGAAGCTGCCCTCAGAGGAACTAATGGTTAGAAAAACCATTAGGCTAAATTGACCTAAGTTTGGGAGTTTACTATGGAAACTGGGAGACTCCATGTGAATTGGTCATTGGGTTATCCACATGGTCTCTGAAGTCACCTGGGAAGATAGCAGAAAAACTGCCAGGCAGGAACTAAATTCTTTATTGAATGTGGATGAGCAGCAATAAGAAGGAGGGAAAGTGGCAAAAGCCAGTGGAACCAGCCTCCAAGGAGGAGGTGATTTTATACAAAGGGGGAGGAGTTTGGGTTAGAAAGAGCACTGGCCCTTCCTTTAGGTGCTGAGTGTGTGAAGGATGAAGGATGCACTCCCCACGCTCAAGGAGCTGCAGCAGAAGAGGGTTGCAGTTATTAAGGCCAAGAGATGAAAGAGGTAGAGAGGCTAGTGGCTTTAGCAAAGAAAGCAGTTCCAGACAATGCGACTCACTGGTTCCATAAATTTTGAATACTAGTCCTGACCCAGGTTTCAGGAGAATGGGAATGGAGGGATGAGTAGAGAGGGGAAGGACAGTGAAGTATTGGCAAAAGAGAGGGGGCTCTCCAGGGCCAGAAGGCGCTCTCATTCCAGGAAGGTGATTTATTTCTCTCATTGTCATTTTTAAGTTCTCTGAGTAGTGTCGAAGAGCATGTGAAATCTATTAAGAGAAGCCAGAGAGACAGCTGTAGCCTTAGTTGCAAAGAAATCTTCCAGTTTACGGTGATAGGGTTTTTTTTTGGTTTTTTTTTTGAGACAGAGTCTCACTCTGTTGCCCTGGCTACAGTGAGTGCCGAGGCGTCATCCTAGCTCACAGCAACCTCAAACTCCTGGGCTCAAGCAGAAGTTTGAGCTGCCTCAGCCTCCCGCGTAGCTGGGACTACAGGCATGTGCCACCATGCCTGGCTAATTTTTTCTCTCTATATATATATTAGTTGGCCAATTAATTTCTTTTTATTTATAGTAGAGACGGGGTCTCGCTCTTGCTCAGGCTGGTTTCCAACTCCTGACCTTGAGCGATCGGCCTGCTTTGGCCTCCCAGAATGCTAGGATTACAGGTGTGAGCCACTGCACCGGCCTATGGTGACAGTTTTTGTTGAAGCTTTCAACTTCCCACCAATTTCCTGACCACTATGAAAACAAATGGTAAAGAGTTGAAGTTGAGAATCGGAAAGAATAGATGAAACTATTAAGATGAAAAGTTATCTGTCTAAAGGGGAAAAGGAATAAAATGAAAAGGGGAAGAAAAGAATAAAGGTTCAAACACATGAAACAAATTCAAAACAGAAAAACCAGAAGATTAATAATTCATGTGGTGAAATTAATGGCACAGTTTAAATATAAAATTATTTTTAAAGGAATTTAAAATAATGTTAAATATGGAAATGGACACCAACAAAAAAGTACCAAAATAACCTTTAAGAATGAATAAATAAATCCTAAGGCCAATTTTAAATGTTCAGATAATAAAGGAGACTAAAAGGATAAGAGCAGAAATTATAAAATAAATAAAAATAAAGAAGCTAAATAATTTAAGATGTAAAGAATTAAAAAAAATAAAAATAATCTGAAACAAGTAAAACAGAAAGATCAAAAATATTGAAGATAAAATAGCGACTGCCAAAGGTTAAAAAAATATATTAAAGAAAGAAAAATAGCCAAAAAAAGATTAAAAATAAAAAATGTTAGAAAAAGAAAATATTTTTCAAATTGCATACAAATGTTTCAGAAGAAAACATTACAAACAAAAGATGAAAAGATGAAAAAGATAAAACAGAACTACGAAAATTGAAAAGATGAAAGAGAAATATGAAAAGATTAAAAAGGTGAAAAATGAAATAGAAAGACTTGAAAGGTGAACAATATGATTTAAAGTAATTCGAAACAACATAAGTCACAGTAAAAAACACACCAAGACAACAGAAAAGTACAAAGGCCAAAATATTTCAAACTAAATCCTTAGTAAGATACAACACACACATGAAAAATAGTTAAGGGTGAGTGTTTAAGAAGGAATTTAGGGTTGAAGCAGCCCCAACAGGAAAGTGAAAGGAGGTTCCAGGTGAGGGCAGAGAAGCAGAGAAAAGGAGCCAGAACCCAGCCCCCTTCTCCTCACACCCAGACTCCAGTGGGAGCCCCTGAAAGGCGGCTCCAAGGGAGGAAGTACACTGCAATAGAAAGCAGCTGACAGCCCAAATCTGTCAAACCGACTGGGCCTGCCAGGAGGCCTCTCTCACCGCCTCGCCTGCGCCGTTGCAGCTGCAGCAGTCAATAATCTGCTGTGGCAGAGACAGGCGCCTTCTTACACTGAGAGGCACGAACAGTGCAGGACGGTGTAAATGCACTCGCCGGCTTTGGAGACAGACTAAGTCACCCTTCTTAGCTACCTGCTCTTTGGGCAAGTTTCCTAACCTTTCTAAGCCTCGTTTCTCATCAGAAAAGTAGGAATAGTTAAATCTACCTTATAAGGCTATTTTGAAGATTCTACGAGATAAAGCTTAGAAATTATGTTATAAACCATTGAAAAATGATAGCTTTTATTATTAACTCACTAGGAGGAAAACGCCCTCTTTCATTACAGCTACACAGGAGAGAAAAATAAAAAAACAGAACATTTTTAACATGTTTGGATTTTCTTGAGGGAGAACTAGAAAAGTTTCAACTGGGCCATTTATTTTATTTTATTTTTTTTTTTTGGCTTAAAATGACACAAATTTACTATTTTACAGTTTTGGAGCTCAGAAGTCCTAAAATCAAGGTGTGATTTTTAGCAGAGCTGTGTTCCTCCTGGTGACTCTCAGGGAGAATATAAGTTTCTTCCAGCTTCCAGAGGCCCCCTGCATTCCTTAGCTCTTAGCCCCTTCCTCCTCCATCTTTAAAGCCAGCAGCATAGCATCTTGAAACCTCTCTCTCCCCTTCTATTTCTCCTTCCCCACTCCCATTTCCATTATCACATATACTTCTGAATATGGCTTTTTGTTTGTTTTTGAGACAGAATCCCACTCTGTCACCCAGGCTGGAGTGCAGTGGTGCAATCATAGCTCACTGCAACCTCCAACTTCTGGGCTCAAGAGATCCTCCTGGTCAGCCTCCCGAGTAGCTAGAACTACAGGCACGTGCCACTATGCCTGGCTAATTAAAAAATTTTTTTTTGTAGAGACAGGGTCTCACTATGTTTCCTAGGCTGGTCTCAAACTCCTGGCCTCAAGCAATCCTCCCACCTTGGCCTGCCAAAGTGCTGGGATAGGCTGGGATAAGGTGGTGTGAGCCACTGTGCCTGTTCTGAATCTGAACAAGGACCCCTGTGATTCTACAGGGCCCACCTGGATAATCCAGAATAATAACCTTCCCATCTCAAAATTCTTAATCACATCTGCAAAGTCCCTTGTGCGTGTAAGGTAACATATTCTCAGATCAGATTCTAGGGATTAGGGTATGGACATCTTAGGGTACCATCATTCTTTCTACAATTTCCCATGTCAGAATTAACGTAGTGCCCATTCTAATGTGCTTAGATGTAAGCCTTAACTCTTAATAGGGGCAAATTATTGAGATCTTCCTCAGTGGATCATGTAGCATGAGATACCTATGCAGTTGTCCCAGATCTCTGTCCTATACAAAAGGCACCCAGCACTCAGTCTCGTGGCAAACAAAACCTTCTTCAAAAAGTGCTAGTGTTTTGTGGTGAAAGCTGAGGGAGCAAGATGCCCTTGACATGTTATAGCCCAGCTGTCCAGGAAGTTGCAAGGAAGATAAAACAGGAAGAAAACCCTGTCAGAAGAAGAGAACTCAACTGGCTTCCTACACTTTCTCAGCTCTGCTTAAATATATTTTCTCTCTCTCTCTCTCTGGTGATATTCATATAACATAAAATTCATCTCAATTATTTTAAAGAGTACAATTCAATGCCATTAGTGCATTCACAATGCTGTGCAACCACAACCACTAACTAGTTCCAGAATATTTTTATCACCCCAAAAGGAAACCCTGTACCTATTAAGCAGTCCTGCCCCATTCCCCACTCCTTCCAACCCAAGAAACCATTAATCTGTCTCTTTGGAATGTTGTATACTGAGTATTTCATATAAATGGCATCATATAATATGTGGCCTTTTGTACCTGGCTTCTTTCACTTAGAGTAATTTTTTTTCTTTTTTTGAGACAGTGTCTCGCTTTGTTGCCCAGTCTAGAATGAGTGCTGTGGCGTCAGCCTAGCTCACAGCAACCTCAAACTCCTGGGCTCAAGCAATCCTGCTGCCTCAGCCTCCTGAGTAGCTGGGACTACAGACATGTGCCACCATGCCCGGCTAATTTTTTCTATATATATTAGTTGGCCAATTAATTACTTTCTATTTATAGTAGAGATGGGGTCTCGCTCTTGCTCAGGCTGGTTTCGAACTCCTGACCTTGAGCAATCCATCCGCCTTGGACTCCTAGAGTGCTAGGATTACAGGCGTGAGCCACTGCGCCCGGCCTAGAGCAATATTTTCAAGGTCCATCCATGTTGCTGCATATATCAATACTTCATTACTTTTTACGGCCTAACAACATTCCATTATATGGATATACCACATTTTGTTAGTTGATGGGCATTTGGGTTGTTTCTACCTTTTGGCTATTATGAATAGTGCTACAATAAACATTTGTGTGTATGTTTTTGTTTTTTTTTTCTGAGTATCAGTTTTCAATTCTTTTAAGTATATGACTAGAAGTGAAATTGCTGGGCCATATGGTAAACCTATGTTTAATAGGCCACGTTTTTTAAAACACAACATACAACAAGTAAATTTAACAAAAATCATTACCATATTCCAATAGTAAGAAAGAGCTCCCAAGCCACCATGAGAAGAGGAAAGGAAAGAGAAAAAAGAAGTAGAACAAAAAACATGCATTATTGAGATACAGATTCTATTACTAAAAAAGAAACCAAAGTACTGACAGTCTGAACAAAATCAGGGTTTATTTTTCAATTAGATAAGAGTCATGAGGTGGGGGCCTGACTTCCTTATGTCTTCAACATGAAGCTTGCAAAGTGGCTCCTCCAGCCCCTGTCATCATATCTACACCTAGGGTAACCAACTCATCAGTTTGCCTAAGACTTTCCCAGTTCTATTGCAAAAAATCCTATGTCAGGAGCTGGCACAAACTGGGGCACTCCAGCCTATACGCTCTGGCCAACAGGAGGGAAGGAAGAAAAGTGAAGTAGAGGTCATGCCTTTCCTTTAAAAGCAAGACCTAGAGGTGTACCCATTATTTCTGCTCATATCCCATTAGCCAATGCTTAGTCATATGGGAAAATCTAGTTCTAAGGAAGGCTCAGAAATGTAACCTGGAGCTGGACAGCTATGGGCCCAGCTGAAACAAGGGGATTCATTACTAAAAGAAGGGGAGAATGGCTGTGCAGAGACAACTAGCTGTCTCTCCCAACACACCTGACAAAGAAAGGTATCAGGACATGATGCAAGTAGGCAGAGGTATGCGAGGAAAATGGGCAATATGTCACGTGGTTTGTAATTGCTTGATTTGTATTATAAGTTTGGTGTTAAAAGATTATTTTCTCTTTGGATACTTTGCACCAATTGATAGTAGTGCCATATTGGAAAGTCACAGCTAAATTTGTACCCCTCCTCCCTTCCTTCCTTCCCTCCTTCTTTCCTTCCTTCCTTTTTCTCTTTCTTTCTACCTTCTTTCTTTCTTCCTTTTTAATAAGGCACATCACTTTAGCAGTCAGGATCCTAGTGGTAATATCATGCTCAAACAATAATGGAGGACAATGGAATGAAGGAACGAACTATTTACAGGGTAAGGGAAACTACAGGGATGGTGCAGTACCCAAGAACAGTGATACTGTGGAGCCATTACCATCGATTGCCTGAAGGGGCAAGAGGAAAGAGGGATTACTGGAGGAATGAAGTTAATTAACTAAGGGCCCAGCAGGGAAAGAAAGAGCCAGGGAATAAACAAACACTCACCTTTATCTTCCCACCCTCCAATCTCCCACCCAATAGGAGGGTCAGCCTCCTGGGCATAGACAAAAGAGAAGAGCAAATCTAGAGGGGAAGATACAAAATAGCCAGAAAATCAACTTTTCATTGCAACAGCCCAACTGTACAGTTAATAAGTATGGCTTAAATGAACTAACAAACATTAAGTACAATAGTTACCTTACCTATTAAATTAGCCTTGGTATTATTGATCAAATCCTTCATCAAATCCTGGTTTCATATGGATTTGCAATTCTCATTAGTACTCACCTTGAATCTGGTTTTGAAGCCTCATCTAGGACTCCTACTTACCTACCAGACTTTGTACCAGACCTGTCACTATTTTCAAAGGATATTTTACCATATTGTGAAAACAATTTTGTTTACTCCTGTAATTATCCCCTTGACATAGCCTATTAACTAGAAGTGCACTTCTCCCTCCATTAAAAACAAATAAATGAACAAAACCAAAACAACCCATCTTTTAAAACATGTATTTATCTGGGGCTTCTAGTGAGATGTTTCAAAATAAATAGGTTCCAAGCTTCTAGTAGGTTATTGATCTTAAAAACTGTACCTTTCTTTATAAAGAAGGTATATAAATCAGTAAGGCAATCACTAACTCCCTAACTAATCAATGGACAAAGGATATGAATAAACAATTTTTAGAAAAAGGGTAAGAAGCTTTCGGCCTTACTAGTAATCTAAGAAAAGAAGATTTAAAACAACTAGATACAAATTGATTTGATAAAAAATTTAAGGAGAATAAGAGCACTAAGTTAGTATTTCAATATATTATGCAGCATGTAAGAACAGAAAGCACATGCTTCTGGAAGGTCACGCTAAGAGGATATAGACCTTGGATAAATATTTTGTGGTGATGTTAAAGATACCATAATTGGCACCATCAAGCTCAGATGCTCATGGATATAGACATTGCGGTGAACCACAGAAGTAAGCACAGCAACTTATGAAGCGTATCTGTGAGTAAGGCCGTTATGTGAAAATGGGGTGATATGTTGGCATAGGCTATGTTGTACCCTCTATCACTCACACCTCATATTCACTCCATTGGCAAAGCCTTCAAAATGAATTTATAATCAGATCACCTCTCCACCACCTCTACTGCTACCAACATCTCTCACCTGGACCAATAGCTTCCTAACCACTTCTGCTCTTGCCCAAGGAGGATCCTGGTCAAATGCAGGCCATATCATGTTTTTCTTCATCTGAAAACCTTCCAGTGGTTGCCCACTTCACTCAGAATAAAATCTAAAGTGTTTATAGTGCCTGTAAGGACCAACACTGGCCTTCTATTACCTTTGCTCACCCTTCTGCAGCCACTCTGGCCTCCACGGGTTGTGGAGGCACATTCCTCCTGCCTTAGGGCACTGGCTGGTCCCTCTGCCAGAATGCTTTTTCCCCAGTTACCCACATGGCTTGCTCCCTCACTCCTCAGATCTTTGCCCAGTTGTCACCTTCCTAGTGAAGACCCTATTCCTAGCTTTATTTTTCTACATAGCACTTATCAATCTCTGACATTCTGTATAATATAACAATTTATTTTTTCCCATCTCCCTGTTAACATGTGAGCTCCAAGAGGGCAAACATTTTTTTCTATTTTATTAATTACTATATCCCTAGTGCCTGGAAACAGGTCCTAGCACAGAGTAGGTGCTCAGTAGATCTTTGTTCAATGTTGAATGAATCCTCCACTGTAGCTGAGAAATACAAAATTAACCTGTAAGTATCCTTGGACCAACTCACATCTGCACTAAACCAGCTTTCTCTGCACTAAACCAGACTTAATTGTCTTCTATCTCATGGATAGTGTCACTATCCACCCCATGGCTAAAGCCAGAAAATTGGGAATCATCCTAGCTTCCTCCTGTACTGAGGGTGCATGTGGCCTTCTAGGTCCTTAAGTGTGGCCTTTTGACTAAATCCAAATTTTATAGAACAAATCCTTTTATTTATATTAATACACTTTTGTTCATCTTTTTAATTTTATTTTAAAAATGAACATATTTAATGAATATCAATGAATAAAATCAGTTTCAATGAAATAATCCTCTCAGATTTACTGGTAGAATTAGAACGTTAGTAAGCCATAAGGGCTAAATTGATGGTTGCTACACTAGTGATTCAGTTCTAACTTCCCCACCTGACTGGTGCCACCATTGCATGAGGCTGCTTAGTGAGAACACGTATGAGGGTCAAGTACACCAGTCTGTTATCAGGTTTTGACAATGGTGTATCGTGTTTCTGTTTGAACTGGAATTTGTAAATAGTTTCACAGCTCGACAGTATTTTTTAATTCTGTCTGCTTAACAGCCCATGATGTCAAAGAAGGCCAAGAGAATGCTAAAGAAAGAAACAGATTTTTTAATGAGGATTGGGAATTGTAATACGATCTTGTTTCTGCTAAAGATACGATGATTTGCTTGCTTTGTGATACTACAATGTCAACATTAAAGAAATTCAGTGCTCATAAGCATTATAACACTCATAAGGACCACAAATATTTTAAATTAGAGGAAGAGGCATGAAACATTGAATTGTATAAATTAAAAGATGAAAGCAAGAGCAAAGACAATTCTTTCAAGCAGCAATCAGGCCTGGAAATAAAGCTACTGAAGCAACTTATAAAGTAGTTTATATAGTCAGGAAAAAGGGAAGCCATTCAGTGATGTAGAAATTGTGAAAGAATGCATTGTCAAAGTTGTAGTATGCTTAGACCCAGATAATGGTTTAAAGTACAAACAACTGCCTGCTTCAAGGAGAACCATAACTGATCAGCAGTATGAATTAGCCTTCAACTTAATAGAATAACTTCATGCAATACTTCAAAAGAAAAATATATAATATTCAGTTGCTTTGGATGAATCAACTGATACTACTGACTTGGCGCAGGTTATATACTTCATTTGGGTCATAAGAAGATTTTCTTTGCTATGAAGCGTTACTTGCTTTGGGTACCCTTGTAAAGAGAACACAGGAAATAGATATCTTCAACAACTTTCAAGATAAATGTCATGAAGTTGGACTGAATTTGGTAAATTTAGTGAGTGTATGTACAGATGGTACACTTTCCATGGCAGGAAAACATGAAGGGTTTATTGCACAGATAAAAAAGTATTAACAGATCCAAATGCTCTCATTTCTTTTCATTGTTTCTTGCATCAGCAAAATCTCTGTGCTAAAGCTGCTATTTTAAGTGAACTATGGAACAAGTTATAAGCATTGTTAACTATATTCATGCAAATGCGACACAGCATGGTCAATTTTGTAACATGCTGAAGATGAACAATGAGGTATATGGTGTCGATTTGCCTTATCATTCTAAAGTGCATTGGCTATCTCAGGGACAGGTGTTGGCTACAATTTTGTCTCTGTGAGAACAGATAGTTAAATTTTATGAAGAACAGAATTAGCAGTGTGAATTATTGAAAGAAGATTTCTATAGTAATGCAGGATTTCTGTGTGATATCATGTCAAATAAAAACAACTTGAATATTTCTTTGCAAGGTAAAACTAAGTCTGGATATGATATGTGGCAAAAAAAATCCAAGCATTTCGACAAAAGCTTTGTTTTTTCAAAACACTTCTTCAAAAGGAAATTTCAGTTGCACATTTTCCCCAGTTAGCAACGGTCATTGATGACAGGATGAGATATGTGAATCATCTGAAGACTACACAGCTATTATGGACCTATTAATTGGAGACTACAATGAAAAGTTCACTGACTTTGAGAATAATGACATCACACTCAAATTAGTATTTCAGTCTCACCTAGTTGGTACCACCAAGGCATGAGAACTACAGATGGAATTGATTGAATTTTCAGTAGCTGACATTTTAAAGTCATTGTTTAATGCTAAGAAAAATCCAATTGAAATATGGAAAAATGCAGTAGAATACCCATGCCTTTGGCAACATGTCCACAAAATGCTTTCTTGCTTTTCAACCACTTATTGCTCTGCCACAGAGCAGAATCTACATTCTCCTACCTAATCCAAATCAAGATGCTCTTAAAGTCACAAATGACTGCTATTCATCTAGAGCAATGGTCCCTAAAACTTTTGGCACCAGGGATCAGTTTCATGGAAGACAATTTTTCCACAGACTGGGGTGGGGTGATGGTTTGGGGATAATTCAAGTGCATTACATTTCTTGTGCATTTTATTTCTATTATTACTACATTGTAATATATGATGAAATAATTATACAACTCACCATAATGCAGAATCTAATGCCGCTGCTGATCTGAGAAGAGGCAGAGCTCAGGCAGTGATGTGAGTGATAGGGAGTAGCTCTGCTTGCTTGCCTGCCCACTGCTCACCTCTTGCTGTGTGGTCCAGTTCCTAGCAGGCCATGAACCAGTACTGGCCTATAGCCCGGGGGTTGGGGACCACAGATCTAGAGGATTAACTGAAACTATAGACCTTCCATGCTGCAACCAAATATTCAAATGCTTTCCAACAAAAAGTAGACACAATAAAGTCATTAAAAGGATAGTTAACTTTAAAATTAATAAACATTTTTCATTTTTTGAAATTATTAAGTACAGAGTAGTTAGATTTTTACAAAATAATGTACATTTTTAAGTATATCTAATTGCAGTTTCTTGAATGAGGCCTTATTTGATTACAGCTAAATTAATACTGCCTTCCAACATGCAAAATGTGGCCTTTCCTACTTTTAGTCCCTCTCTAAGCATCACCAAATCCTGTTGACAATTCTCCATTGTTTTCCAAACCCTTCCATTTCTCTCCATCCCCATTGGCACCAGCCTGGATTAAGCTACTGTCATTTCCTTCTCAATTAAGAAAACTGTCTCCTTACTCTTCCCCATGCTGCTCTCACCTCCTCCGAGATATAATTCATGATGTAATTAATCAAAGACATATTTCTGACTGCAAATCTGCACAGAGTTGCTTAAACCTCTTTAATGGTTGCCCTTTACCTTCAGCATAATGTTCAAATTCCTTGACATGGCTTAAAAAACCCTTTCCATCTGGACCCCATATAATTCTTTACCCTCTTTTCTCTAGGCCTTTGCACAT